CGGGTCGGATTGTTTCAACTCCTTCTCTTAAACTCTTAATCTCGTCAGAATTTGCTCTCGCTTTCTTTGGTGTTATTTACTTCGGAGCCGTGTTCACCACCCATAAATATGTCTATCTTTCGATTATATATTTAGGCTTTGATTTGTAACATGTGGAATCCGCAGAATTTTTGTCAATAAAAAAATGTTGCGGAACATTAAAAAAAACTTGAAAACGCATACCTGCGTTTTGGCTAAAAAAATAACAAAAAAAAATTCATTAAGTGGGTAAGTGAGATTTTGCTCGTTTTTCCGTGGAAAACATATGAAATTAATGACTGCAATAACTAATTTTTCGACAATAAATTAACTCTTGCTTCTTTTTTTTTGTGTGGAAAAGCAGAATAAGATTAATGACCATAGCATTTACTATTTCGACTATAAATTAACCCAGTAATTAACTCAACTTAATCCAATACGACCTTAAACCGCTTGACATTATTTAAACAACCAATATTTATTATGACCATTAGATAATCATTGTCGTTGCATGCATGGAGTGAAAATATAAGTAATAATTTTTATTTATTACAAATATTGGTTACATGTTGAGTCTCTAAACTGAGTATGTGTATTTTTAAGTACTTATTTTAAGTACTTTTGACGTATGTATATTTTAAGTAATTTAATTATTTTAAGTACTTTGCTCTTTTTATAATACTTAAAATTTTATTATCATGATTATTGTTTAAATTTCACATTTATAATATTATGATATATCAAATAATATTTAAATATATAATAAAAAGTCAGTTATAAAATTTTGTTTACCGCCATTCCGCAAAATTTATCCAATCGAACAATAATTTCAATCCGCAAGATTTGATTCTACAAAAAATAAAGTATTCCGCGGATTATTTTTTTTTCCGCCATTCCGCAAGTATGCAGTGTTACCAATCGAATCCTTAGTCTGTAAACATCGGATCGAAATTTATAACCCTTAATTAATATAACACTTAAGGGCATCGGATCTAAATCTATAGTATTAATAAAAACGATCATATTCCAAAATTATTATATTATTGTTAAATAAAGAAAACAAACGATTGTTGATTAGTTCGATAATTAGTAAAATCGATCGAATGTTAAATGGGTCAAACGATTTATAGTAAAAAAAGAAAACAAAGCCCAAAACCAATTAGCACAAACCCAATTAATACAAACTACACGAATTAAGAGTATTATAGACAAAACGAAATCAATGGCATGGCATTTCATTAATTTTGTTTGTTGCGAAACGTTTTAATTATTTACTAATAGTACTATACTTTCAAATTTCCTTTTTCTTGAACGTCTATTTATTAATCTTGAAAATTTGGTACAAGAAACTCATCAGAGCAAATGTTGTATACAAATTGGGGCATAATGATAAAACCAACAAGAATGAAATTGAGATTGTTCAATATGTGCAAGCTTATCGACAATGGCATTTGAACTTCGTCCAATATGGACTATATGAACACCTGCAAAACGGTTAATCCAAAAATGAAGATCATAAATGAGATTATCTAATGCTCTGTTCTTTGTTCGGCCATGGATGAGGTTGACAAGCTGTTGAGAGTCGCCTTCGAAGATCAGTTGATGATATCTGCGAGACCACAAAATTTGCATTGCGTGAAGTAGGCTGAAACCCTCTGCTTTCGTTGCACAGTTTGCATGGGGGAGGTATGATGAGGCGGCTAATACGAACTCACCATTTGAGTCACGAACAATCCATCCGGATCCAATTTTGTTATCGGAAACGTGAAAACTTGCATCATAATTGCATTTGAGCCATCCAATGGGTGGTGGAGACCAGCTTGGAGTGTGATGCATTCAGAATTTGGGCCAGATTCCAGTGGTTTTGAGGTTGTGTCAGACAATTCAAGTGCTTCGGCTTGAGCTCGAACGAGTATGTCACTTGGTTCCCATATACGACCTTCGAAAATCATATCATTTCGAGCTTTCCAAAGACTCCATAGAAGCCAGAATCGTGAAGTGAGGTGGAAAGCATGATCTGTTGGTTATGTGTGGTTGGTGTAAAGAGTTTTGACGTTTTCATCTAAAACATCACCCGGGGCTAATCCTTGGAAAGGGTTTTGAGGGGAAAGGTTCCACGTCTCCAAAGCATGAGGGCAATTAAAAAGGACATGGTTGGGGGTTTCGGTTGCTAGATGGCAACGTTGGCAGAGAGGGTCAATGGGAATGCCTTTATCGCAAAGGCTAGAGGCGGTAGCAAGAGCGTCAGATAAAGCTCGCCAAACAAACATTGTGATCTTTGGAATCAATGGAAGAGACCATATCTTTGTCTTAATGATGGGACAACCTCACTCCGTCTTTAGTGTAATGCCACACTAGTTTGTTGGGACGGAGGTGTTTCGGGATGTAGACTCGAAGAATTTCGGTTCTATCGACATCCGCTACTCCATGGAGTTTATCATTGTCCCATTATTTATTGGACCATAAATCATTTACCTTTAAAAGCATCAATATTACCTTCACCGAGCTGCCAAATGAGTCCTTTAGACATCAAGTCTCGGCTATGA